CCTCACACACAAACAAACAAACACACACACACACACACACACACACACACACACACACACACACAAACACACAGCTGTAAAATGATGTGATAGGCCAGTAATTGCTCCTCTGCGCTTGATGCCGAATGCCAGACAAGCGTGGTGAATATTTCTCCAACACTGGCTGACATTGTCATCATAATTAGGCGATGTGTGTGTGCAGTGCACCTGTACAGCCCTCTGCGCCAAACACACACACATACACACACACAAAGTTGCAAAGCAAACACATCCAGAATCAAGCTGTGATTGGCCAATAAAAGCCTGTTGCTTTGGGCTACCGTTTTAATTTCCCAGTGGTGTCACTCTAAGCCAATCTGTGTGTGTGAGGTAGTATATGTTTGTGTGTGTGTGTGTGTGTGTGTGTGTGTGTGTGTGTGTGTGTGTGTGTGTGTGTGTGTGTGTGTGTGTGTCCTGTCTCCACGGCAACATCAGGTCCGTAGCGGTGACGGGCTTGGTCACGCCTCTCATTGTAATGATGGTGAGCTCATGTCTGTTGGCTATTGGGGCTGCCTACAGTCCTTATGACAACAAGGGCTTGACTATCACTGGCACATTCCACCTGCAGCGCCACACAGACATATAATTACACCACTTGTTTGTTGAACAGGAGGTCTGCACAGGTCACGGTGTGTGTTAATGTGAGCGTCCTACAGTAGGTATTACAGTTAGGGCTGAACGATTAATCGATTTTAAATCGAAATCGCGATTTGAAATAATGCAATTAAAAAAAAAATGTCACTTTTTTTTTTATCTTGTGTGTCAGTCATCCACACCAATCAGAAGTGCTGTGCTCCACATGTACCAGCCATTGTTAACCAATCAGAAGTGGCCCATGATAGAAGGTGATAAACAGATGAATCCAATCACCTGCCAAGTATTTTTGAAAGTGCCTGCCCTTTCCAAATGGCTTCCAACGGAGCTTTCCTAGATGGTTTGGTGAAACAAACCATCTGAGTCAGGTTAGTAATGCTCCATCACATGTTTTACATCTATTACAGGGTGAATCTTAAACTGAAGCTTGACTTTAAAGCAACCCAACGGAAGTTTCATGTAAATGTAGTTCTTTCACTCGTAGCTCGGGCTGCGGGGGTGCTAGAGACGGGAGCACGTTGATACGACCTTCCTAGCCGGAGATATGGCCGCATTTTACAAGAAACTTCCGTTGGGTCGCTTAAAAAGAAAATCGCAAATCGAATCGCAATCGCAATATCTGTCAGAAAAATCGCAATTAGATTATTTCCCCAAATGGTGTAGCCCTAATTACAGTATGTCATTGCCTCTTATTTACTCAGCCCTAAAATAGCCTGGTCATTGTCAACTGCATTTACTCTATAAGCCAAGGCCCTCCTTTTGTCATCCTTGTATTTTTTTTAACTCTAACATGTGTTTTCAGCAATGTCGAACCCATGACTCACCTATATCTCCCCCTCTTCCTCCCCCTGGCCAAGACGAAACCTTTCTCAAGGATTGAGAAAAACCCTTGATGATATAAGCACTAAAAAAATACTGTGGTTGTTTGAGTAGTGCGTGTTTGTCTAACTAAAAGCCTTTCACCAAATACGGGATGTGTGCAGTGGCGACTGGTCATTAGGGGCTAGTGTCAGCAGAAAGTACTTCAAATAATAATTCCAAATAAATGCAAACAAAATACATCTTAAAATATATTTTAAGATCATGTTTAATCATCTGATTCATCTGTACATTGCTGTTTTAGTCTGTGTTCTTCCAATTAGTGTCTACAGTGTGCCTATTGAGCCGTTTTGAGTGACGTGGGTCAAGCCCCGATCTAGCACCTCTCTCTCACTGTCTAAGCGAATGGTTGCTGTAAAAACGACACTGCGCATGCTCAGAGTATGTTTCTATTCAATGTGTGCGGCAAAAAAATAATCACCATAGGGGCACTGTGCTGACATACCTACCAAACGTCATCTCATAATTCAGAGAGCTGAGTTGTTTGTGAAGAGGAGACGAGAGAGAGCAGCTTATAGCGATTAAAATCAGTAAAACGGAAAGAAAATGAATGAAGTTGACCATCTACTTCAGCTTTGGTAAGTTCATTTTATGTCATATCTTTTGTTGATCTTCTGTGTTTTGCCTATAGGCTATTGCTCTGCTGGATCGATTGATATTGTGACCGCGGTGATGAGGTCATAATATCGGAACCATGGATAGCCTACAGCTATTTGTTTACGTGTTTAAAAAAGTACCAGAAGCTTATATATACACATCTAAGTTGTTCGTGCCCTACCACTTCTGTACATATAAAAACGCCACTGGATGTGTGCACGGGGAAATTACACCAATTTAAGCCTCTCAAAAGACAAAGTACCATTCCTTGTCTGTGAGGTGAATTTTAAATCCGATCAATGAAACACAATCGTCCTTCATTTAATTCCTTTTATTCTGCTTTCTTCCACCACATTTCCCCCATTGCCTCAAAGCTAGACCCCAGTTTGGAAAAGATAAGAACAACAGGCCCTGACCTAATTCCTCTGAAGCATGCTGGGAGGAGAGACTCCTATGTCAAGGCGTCCTTGTTCTATTTTGATTGCAGGTGCACAAGAAGTTCTCGGAAGAGCCGTTTGCCTGCTTCCACTTTGCGCAGTAGCGTTTCAGATTTTCTATCTTTAGTTCATTACATTACATGTTACATGTTAGACGCTTTTATCCAAAGCGACTTATATACTCAATACTGTGGCCAATCCCCACAGGAGCAATTTGGGGTGAAGTGTCTTGCCCAGGGACACAACGACATGCTGACTGCAGTGGGGTTTGAACCTGTGCTCCCCTGATCCGAACACCAACGCACTAGTCCACTGCGCCACACGCCTTAACTTTAGTTCAGGAAAGTTAAGGTAATTAAACATGGTAATGGGTACAAACAATCGCAGTTAATGATCGTGAATTAATCATTACAGTGACGTGATTGTCTTTCTCTTTTGATTTTAGACACTGGCACCTGTCCAGGAATGATTCACTCAGTACATATCAAAGTCCAATCATTTTTTTTCCCAACTGACAATTCACTTTCAAAGCACAATGAGGATGTTTAACACAATGTTTTACAATGAATCAAAATGACATGTTGTTGGTATGAAGAATCATTTAAATAACAAAAGGTGACGAACATTAAGATTTAGTCTGAGGTCATGCACACCCAATATAAAGTATGTGTTCGTTTTAAGCTAGTTTGAAGTTTTCAAAACTTGGAAATAGCAGTTGAGAAAACAATATAACCACACAACCTATTTAGCAGCTGTTTTGGAGATTCAGTCATAATCACAAGCTAACAGACGACAACTCTTATTAAAGTTCTTGAAATATACGCAAAATTCCCTATATTCAATTCAATGGACATGGTCAATATGTTCTTCACTCTCTTACGAAGAGTTAAACTTGAATTGGTACCACTGTCATGGCTGCATGGTATGAGCAAGGCTGCAGCTAGGAGACAATTAACTTAGCTTAGCATAAAAACAGGAAATAGGGGGAAACAACTAGCCTTGCTCTGAACTAAGGTTTTACTCACTCATACCACTTTGTTTAATATGTAAAGTGTAAAAGCAACAAGTCGTCATTTCACGGGAGGTTATGTGTTTAGCATGCTAAGCTAACAGTCTTCCGGTTGTTCATATTCAACAGAAAGATGTGAGAGTGGTATCTTCTTATCCCCCTCTTTACAACAAACCAAAACAATTGTATTTCCTCAAAAATAAAACAATATTAAATGTTTTATTATTATAACTTTTGGCCACTCTCTTCTTTCGATGTTCAATATTTTCACTGGAGAGAACATTTTAAAAAGTGAGAAAGCAGTGAAGTGAGAACGGCATTTATGCGCCACCACTGGCCCTATCTTTGTCTAGAAGGGCTCTATTTTGCATTTGATGTGTCACATTGTTGTCATGTTTTGCATCCGTGCCAGAATGTTAGCCGCCATCCTGTCATCCGCAGCCAGAGCAGGAAAAACATCTCCAATGTTTTTCAATGATATTCAGAGTATTTTATTTCCCATAAGCCTGTGCCTGAAACTGTTTATACCTTCAATCTCAGATTTGGTAGTAATCAAAAAGTGTTATACAGACAAACAAGTTGACACAAAAACACTGGCTTACTTTTGAGCACATTACAGTCACAAGTTGTTTAGATAAGTTTGCACTAAAAAGCAGAACACCGGAGAAAGACAAGGCCTTTAACCCAATTACTCCTACATTAGTGTTATCATTTGAAACATCTTCATGAGGCAGCACCAAATAAAACGTTGTGGTCTGTGTATCTGTAAACACTCAACCCGGTTTTTCCATTGTCTCATTCCCAGGAAAGGAATGTGTTTATGAAGGCATATAAATCAGCAAAACTACACAAAAAAACATGAAAACAGGTTAAACGTACAAATATATATTACAACACAATAACTATGTTGTAATTTTTTTCAGTACATGCTTCAGGCTCACACTCAAAGACTTAATTTTCTTTTTTCCCTTTTCTGGGTTGAGGCCGTTTTGTTAAGTAGGTAGCAAGTGTTAAGGGGTTATTCCACACTAATCGCATCCAAGTCATATGATCAAACTGTGAAGAGGCTGTCAGGTTAAGCTGAGTCAAGCTGGACACTTTACAACATCAAAACAGGAAGTCAAGCATATTAAAGGCTCATAAGGTATAATAATGGTATACCAATGTTTCTTTGTTCTGAAAGGAAAATTCAATACGAATTTGAATTACAAAAAAACAACAACGTAGGAATAAGGTGTACTCTGGACTGAAGTAAATAGTAATACTACAGTGTTAAAAGACCAAGCAGATAGTTCAGTAAACTATATATTTGATAGATACAGTAAATAATAAAAGTTTCTCAGGGTACAGGAGTTTTCTTTTGAAAGTTGTGACCGGAAACAGTTGTAGTTCACCTTGTTTACGTTGACAGTGGTCCACTAGTGACTAGTTTCCCAGGCTAACTAACCATCAGACGGTGTTCAGACAGGAGGCATGGGACTGTGGAATCACCGAGGGGGGGGAACTCTTCTCCAAAACAACACAAACACAGGGAAAGAAGTCTTATCCAGCCAGAAGAAATTCAATGGAGCTTTACTTTTACACGTGTATTGATTTCTACTCAGTAAAAGACCGAACGAGAAGACTTAAATGACAGCTGAAGTTATCCGTGCTTTTTTGATACCTAGGGCAAAGTGCCACACCTTCGCTTAGCGCAACAGGTAGGTCGAAACATTTTCTATCCTTTAAGGCTTTCTCACATCAAAAATAATGTTCTGAATTAACTTTAAAGAGTGGGGAAAGTGTTGTTGAAGCGCTATTAAACCGTGGTGAGCTCAGCTTCGACGGTTCCTCACAGCGACAGGTGAGCCCTGAGTGGTGATGTCAGCCATATGCCGAGTCGCTTTGAAAAACAAAGAAATACAATAACGTCACCTTGCTATAGATAATAAGGTTGTTATAAGGCTCTATTAAATGGTAAATTAAAGTTATGATAAGACCCTTTACGCTTTTGTTTTTAGATAGCCTACGCAAAATGTTGTTTTTGACACTGACAATGGAGATGTTGTCTCCACACCTGCACTTAATGGCATATGGCTGTTAGTACACACTATACAATAAAAAATACATTCATATAAGCTATCAATACGTTTATGAACTGTCAGTAGGCATGAGTGTAACTAAAAGAAAGCAAATAAGTTGTGTTTTCATATTTGTATTTGATAATTTATCCTTTTATACATTTTAATCTTTATTGTCCCTATTTGTAATACAATTATGGTAGACAAATACTATATATTTCAAAATATTGTGTTGGCCTTCAGATAGTGATCAGGCTGTAAAAAGCCCATCATGTGTTTGTTTTATATCTAACTTAGGATCTTTTGCATTATTGATTCATTTCTTTATCAAAACATCTTATTATACGAACATTTCAAAAGCCAAAATATATTTCAGTAGCCGTAATATATATTAAATCATAGCTGAAATGATTAGACGACTAACTGTTCATCGACAGAAAAATCATAAATAACACATTTTACATAGCCTCTCTAATATATGCTTTTGCAGTATCATTTTCTCTGTTTTATATCGTCTTAAACTGAACATCTTTGTGGTTTGGACAGACAAAACTAAATATTTAAAGACATCATTTTTGGCCTTTTAACTAATCTCTGTAAAACATGTCTAAAGCTGGTGCAAGCAAATGTTAGCCAATCAGTTTCTGTTCTCTAATCATACCAGCTGTAGTAGAATATAAATGTGTGTATCTGTGTAAAAACTAAATATTTAAAAGTTTCAATATGTCCCTACAATGTTGTTAAAGTGACACACAGACGCTGATAAATTCCATCCAGGCCTGAACACATTCACTGCAGGCAGGTGAAGTTAATGAGTGAATGGAGGGCTGGTATGGAGGGCATTTGTTCTTTGTTAGGATGGAGTGGAGAGGCCGAGGAGTGGTCTTGAATTAGTTAACCAGAGCTCCTGTACACGGCCTTGGGCTATGTTTGCACATCTAACACGTAGCCCCGCTGAACCCTGGGTCGTTTAAAAAGGCACACAAACTTGATGCTTGAGCGCAAACCAGTCCTGTCTGCCGTTTATCTCTCAACACTCATGTTAACCGCCGTCTACAAGCGGCTCTCATATATCAAATGTCTCTTTAAACTCCGTGATGGTTTTCTGGTCAGTTTTTTTTTTTACCTCAAGTCAGGTTAGATTTACAACATCCTGACAATTGATTTACACAATATGCTCAGCTGCGGTTTGGAAAACACATTTTCCTGGCTTTAGAGGCAGACTCCACCCATGTGGCAGCCTATTAGACAAAACAAGCCATTAAAAGCGTATGCAAATATTATTTGCCCAAGGGCTAGTTTGCCTTGCAGCAGGATGGATGACTCGACCTGAAACAGGATGTAAACAGGAGAAAAGATCTCAATGCTGTTGTTGCACGGATAAAGATTGTGTAATGAATTTCCAAGAACATTTTATAATATGTAACAGATAAGGGAGTGTACTGCCGCTCCTAAACAGACAGAAGCCTATTAATATATATATTTTTGGGCACTTTTGCATAGTCTTGTTGTCTTGTGTTACTGTCAGGATTTGACAGGGTGTTGGGCCTAAAAGCATTACAAAGATGATGGCAGGATACACATAAAAAACAGTTTAACACAAAAACAGGGGAACCAGGCAAAACAGCAGAAATAAAAACTGAACCTGTACAGACCATAGAGCACAAGAAGCGGATTAGGAACACAGGGAGAACCGACAGGAACATCTAGTACTGACAAAGAACAAAAGACTCAGCTGGAGAGGGGGAAAAAGGGGCAGCAGGTGAACACAATCAGGCAGGAAAACACAGGAAGTAAAACAAGACCATGACACATGGCATTTCAAAATCAAACAGGAAACAGAAACTATCTGAAGCTGCTACTAATAGATACTTTTATTTAATGATTAATGAGGAATTACATTGATTATTTTGCTTATACTATATCAGAAAACACACTATTCAACTATTCAACTGACTTGTATATTCACACTTACTGTAAATATTAACCTGGATAATGTATGCAAATATATCCCCGTAAAAACTAACAAAAAGGAAATGTGTACATTATAGTTGTTTGAATGGTTAGACCCACTTAAAAATGTTGTTTAGCCCCTGTTTTATTTACAGCTGCATCACTGGCTCTATATGAAATAAAAGCGAGGTCTTCGTAGGTTTGTTTACTCGCTTAAAGTACAATCAAGAGCTCTTGGCTCAGGAGGATCCACGGGGTGGAAAACAGCAGCAGGTCTGTTTGCAGTGTGAGAGGAGGGGGGGGGGGGGTATTGATAAGTGAGGGCTGCTGGGTAATAGAGAAGAGACAGGGCTTGTTTTCATCGGACTGCAGCTCAAGGCCAAATAAAAAGAAGTTTGGAGCTTGACCTCCCAAAATGTACATGGACTACTTTGAGTAGAGTAAGTTGCTTGTGTAGGCGGAAAATCCATATCTAAATTGATCCATTACGAGTGTTAAATTAATATAAATTGGTCGGCATGACAACTCACCATGGATACGCTTGCCTGATCAAACCAGGCGTATTCATATAAGACAGTTAAAGGTGAGCCCGTCGCATCCAAATCAATTGAAAATGAATTATGATTTGACAGATATTTAAAAGTGTTTCATTGTGGTTACACAATAACATCACTCTGACATCACTCGCTCTTTTATGGGAAGCATTATCAGGTGTGGGAGGTTATCTCATTTACTGTATATGCAGGTTATTAAAAGCTGGATAAAGCAGCGAGTGAGACAGCGACACTTTTTCTTGTCATTGTTCAGACTTTAGAACGGTGTATTGACATTTCAGGCTGATTTGAAAAGCCTCAGAGCTGATAAGAGGCTAAATTGACAAGCTTATCGAATGCTGCAGTTCTCTCTCAGCAGAGAAAAGCAGAGGTAACACCGGCAGCTACAAGGAAATCCTGCCAATAAGTGCTTCTTCTTTATTTGTGATATGGGATTAATAGCCAGTTTCAGCTGAATTAAATGGAATGGATTTTAGATCAGGTTTAAATTAGCACCAGGCTGATTGTATATGATATTAAGAAAGACTGGATTACTGTACCATTTGCTTTTCAAAGTACTAAATAAGGGATGCAACTTTATACCATCCGTTGGGGCTCACCAATATTTCCATATCATTATGTATCGCCTTAAATGGAATGTTGAGATATTGTGATACCTCCGCATATCTTTCTGAGCAACTTCCAGTGATAACATCTGCCCTTATGTCAGTAAAAGGGTACAGCTTATGTCATCCTGAGACCCATCATGCTCTTTTGTTTTGGAAAAACGCAAGGCAGCTATGTAGACAAGCGGCTTCACAATCTTGTCTTCCCTCAAAGGAACTCAATTGTGTAGGTCCAGAGCCCAAAATAATGTCTATAAAGTGTTGTTTAGTACCAAAGATATTCAGTTTGGAGTGGTATTAAAATAGATATGCTTCAAATTCTTGCTTCAAGGCTAAACAGTTCATCTTTGCAGCTTTTTAGATCGGATTAGAGAAAGGGGACCTTGTTTTCAATTTGTAGGATTCACCACAAAATAAAAAATGTTGACAAGGAAGCCCTCAGTTTTTTATTTAGCATGCCAGACAAACATCCATTGTAGCAATGAAGATTCCCACTATAATTATGTCTGCCCTGTCTTGGCAGCTGTGATAAAACTCACCATAAGTATAGAAAAACAACAACAGACCATCATATGGATGTCAGACCAGTTCGCCCACTTTTCCATCAACAAACCCCTCCCACGTTAACATGATCTCTCTTCTCACTGTACCTTCACACACACAAAACACAGACAAACACTCTGACCAGAAGGTGTCAAGATATAAATTATGCTTTATAAAGGTAGCACTCAGTTTACATTACAGTTCCATCAGGGGACCGAGTTATGTAGCAACAGCGGGGTCCTTGTATTGAAAGACTCCTTTGTTGTAAAGTTCACCAGAGACCCTCGAGAGAAATATTCATATCTACACCTCAGGGCAACATCTCTCCGAATGAGCATTCAATTACTGTCCGAAGATAAGAGAAAAATGTGTATTATCTATTAGGAGGCCTCTAAAGTTATTCAGGCTCTCTAATCCTCGTCCACCTGTGTGTAGTTTCATACTCTTGGTATGTGCAGTGTTTAGACCCGCAACTCAAACCCTCGGTTAGACAGGAAAAAGGTTGTGGATAGATTTCAGTCGTCCAAGGGCAAAACAAAAATAATCGTCATCAGATATGCTGGAGGATGACTATATTTAGAGAGTGTTTTTTAGTTTTGAGGTCGTATGAGAAAACGAAGATCAAATCAGTACACCTATTTATTTGTATTTTCATCCTCATTATTCACCATTTAAAGCAGAAATACTCCAGGAAACAACACATTTGCTATGGAGGGTATGGTGTCAGATACATCTCTCTATGTAATCCAAATGTCATTTTTTTTACATAGATGCTCCGACAACTAGTCCCTGTGTATAGCGAGCCAATCACTGGCATTTTGCTCTGTGCACATACGTCAATTAAGCGTTGATAGTGACCAATGGCATTGTGACAGAGAAGCATAGCGCACCCTCCCCATCCAGTTACCCAACAGGTTATCACCGTTAGCTTTAGCAGTGTTAGCATCGTTAGCCAGCTCAGCCATCGCCATGTTGAGAACCGTAT